ACAAGCAACCCTTTTAAGATGCTGGCATTTTTAGCTAGGAACCCATCATTTGAGCGGTGAGTATAGACCACGGTCATGATCCTTGTACGCTGGCTTGCAATCGCCGAGTGCAGAAGATTATTCGAATGATGATTCACCTCTCGGTTAGCGACGATTTGTTCACCTATCATTTAGGGTTTCACAGACAATGGCAGCACAAATGCTTACGGCAATGCGGCATACCTCAAAAAATGGTATTAGACGGCAGTTAGCAATTGCATCCCGGCCCAGAGTGCAATGGCTACCTGTGACATGAAGGTCTAAATTATGACAATAGGTTAGATTTATGAAGTGGAATTCATGAAAGATCAACCCTCTTTAATCCTATTGTTTCGAGGAAGCTTATTCCACGATCACGTGCTGAGCTCTTATTCCTGAGCTTAACCGGTTGTGGCAGAAACAGTTGAACCAGTTTGTGAAACTGACATATTCATCAATCATCATTCTTATTCATTTATTCCAAAAGTATTGCTTTTCTTACCGCAAGCATTTGTTCACTAATCATTCTCATTAGACGTTCTGCATAAGCGATGTAAAGTAAACGAAATGATGCCGTAAAATGCGTTTTCGGTTCCTCCTCCTTTTAAAAGTACCATGGTCCTCTGGCGCGTTCCCAGGCTGTGAATAGGTGAATGACTCATAGATACGTAAGCATTCGTAAATAGGCAGCGGTGGATACTATGAGGGTATGCCCCAACGAACCCGACGTCCACAGAATGGTCACGCGTAGTCCGAAGACGGACCCATGACGAAGCGAGAGTGACCCTTCGGCAATACGGTCACAAATGCTACGCTAGCTTTACGGTTAGACCAGGGAAGCTCAGGCTACACGAGACAACTTCAACAATAAACCAGCCTGCAGCGAGATAGTGCCATTGCACTTGGAAGTGCAAACATGCGAGGTAGTAAATGTTCTTTCATTCCTGGGTTATGCCGTTGAACAAAGAACCATCCTCATGTGTAACTAGCTGAGAAA